CACAAAATTCCTCTCCCCCATTTTCCGTCCACATTTTCATCATCCGTGCCCTTTTCTCCAATAGGCCACTTTGCAGAACCGGAGGGTGGGAGCCTCGCTCTGCCTCACAGCCTCTGCAGTGGGGAAGGCAGGTGGGAGCTGCTGGCCACAGCATGGGAGCGACACAGGAGGGGAGGTGCAGGAGGCGGGCGGGTGGCCTGTCTGAGGGAAGCTAGCTTCCTCTGCAGAGGTCAAGTAAAACCACACCTGAGGGATGACCTCATGTTGGTTAGGTCAAAGGAAGTTGGATGAGGGGAGGAAAGAGAAGAGTTTTCACTTACAAAAGTCAATACCCATCCTTTCTTTAGAAAACAAAATAAACTATCATTGTTAGTGGGATTATAATATGGTGTAACCCAAGGCAAGCAGTTAGCCTAGTGATTAAGATGCCAGCAGCCTGCATTGGAATAACTGGGTTTGATCCCTGGCTCCAGTGGCTGACTTCCTGCTAATAGAGATCTTGGGAGGCAGCAGTAAAGGCTCAAGAAACCGAGTTCCTGCCACCTTGTACGAGACCTGGATTTTGTTCCTGGCTCCTGGCTCCAGCCCCAGCCATGCCCTGACCACCACTATGGTCATTTGGGGAGTGAAACAGCAGATCCGAGATCTTGAGATCTCTCTTCCTCTTCCTCTTCCTCTCCCTCTCTCCCTCCCCCTCTCTTTCTCTTTCTCTCTCATAAATAAATTTTAATGGTACAGGCTGGCACCGCGGCTCACTAGGCTAATCCTCCACCTGCAGCGCCAGCACCCTGGATTCTAGTCCTGGCTGGGGCGCTAGACTCTGTCCCGGCTACTCCTCTTTCAGTCCAGCTCTCTGCTGTGGCCCGGGAGTGCAGTGGAGGATGGCCCAAGTGCTTGGGCCCTGCACCCACATGGGAGACCCGGAGGAAGCACCTGGCTCCTGGCTTCAGATCGGCGTAGCTCTGGCCATAGCAGCCATTTGGGGGGTGAACCAACAGAAGGAAGACCTTTCTCTGTCTCTCTCTAACTCCGCCTGTCAAAAAAAATTTTTAATGGTACAATGAATTTTTATTCTTTAGTTAAAAGAATTGAAACTAGGATCTCAAGGAGCTATTTTCATGCCCACGTTGATAGCAGCATTGTTCACAATAAAAGGCAGTAGCAGTCCAAGGATGCATCAGTACAAGCATGGATTAAAAAAAAAAAAGTGATTTAAACACACAATGGAGTGACCCCACTTCCGATCTCAGCTGGGATGGGGGGCCCCAGGCTACCATTCTTCTGTCCTACTTAGCTTTGCATTTGGGGGCTCTCACAAGGTCCCTTCAGGTTTGATAATTTGCAACAACAACTCAGAACCCAGGAAAGCACTATACGCATAATTACCAGGTAATGATAAAGCTACAAAAGAAGAGCCTGATGAAGGGGGCACAGGGCACAGAAGCCTCAGGGGAATACGTGGGCCCATGAGGAAGCTCTTGCAGCCTCCCTGTGCAAAGCTTTCACTGAGGTCTCATTACATAGGTGCAATGACTAGTCATTGGCCAAGTGATTCCAGACTCCCCTCCTCCCCAGGGATTGGAGGAGAGGGTGCTGAAAGTTCCAGCCTTCTAATAATATGATTGCTTTTCCCTGGTGACCAGCTCCCATCCTGAAGCTATCTAGGGAAGCTCTCTGGAGCAGCCACATTAGCATAACAAAGACATTCCTATCACTCAGGAAATTCCAAGAGTTTTTTTAAAAGAGATCCCAGCCAGGAACTGCAAACAAAGAGCAGATACATATTTTCTAATCTACCACAATGAGCTAATGATTAAAGTGCTTAGCACAGTACCTGGTATATGGTAAGAGTTCAATGACTAGTAAGTTGTTGGGAGTAAATAAATGAATAGAATAAACATAGTAATAAGAGCAATTAGCAATGATAGTAGTAGCATGAAAGCAGGAGTGATGTTTTCAGGTCTACAGTATACCTAGGCTTGGAGGTCTGTGTAAAGATGAGCCAGTAGTGGAAATGTATGACCCATGGAGCATCCAACGACTTCACTTTGGCAGTGCTCAGATCCCTTCAGCTGAGGGCCAAGATTGGGTGGAGCTTATTTAAAATAGTCTCCTGAGCCCCTTTCAGATAGTCTCATTGGCAAGGCTGAAGTGGGGACACAGCACCTCTAAACTTGCTTTTACAAGTTCTCCAGGTGACAAGGATACATGTCTACATTGGGGAGCCAGTGGCCCAGCACCTCTGGGGGACGATCGCGTGTCTGAGCTGTGAGAGGTTGGAGACACTGGACAAGGCTGTGTCAGAGCCCCTTGGTGTCCTACCCAACAGCCATCCTGTCTCTTTTGTACTTGGTACCAGGACCACAGTTTGGTTTTAGGCAACAGGAGCCTGTGTTGTTGTGGAAAATTCAGGTGCCTCCCCAGCCCCAGGGGTGGGTGGTGACTGGTGAAACCTAAACAAGCCACTCTCATGTTACTTGCCACTGGCAGGATTGGGTGTGGCCAGGTGATGCAATGCAGGCTGGGAGACTTCAGGGGAGGGCCACTGGGGGCTTGTGGGTGGCTGCCCTGTTGATTAGATTACAAAGGCAGGATGGGAGAGCTCCTTTTCCTGACTCTGGATCTAGAGTTGGCAGGTGATACCTGGAGGTGGAAGAGACACCCTGGGAACATGAAGGGAGCAGCTCAAGAGAACAGAAGCCACTTCAGTGAGGATGGTGCAGTGGAAGTGAAATCGGAGAAGACCCCCTAAAGTCTACACTGAAATATGGCCCCTTAAAGTTCCCTAGAAATGCTATCCGGGGTGCCACATGTGCTACTGGAATTTGGGTGCCTTACGATTTCACCACGGGCTTATTACTAAATCCCCGATATTAATAAGCCCAAGAGGGTTCTTGCCTAATATTTAGAGAAGAATTCTAAATACCGGCACAGATAAACGAGGCAGCATGGTACGTTTTAAGCTTTTAGTGAGAAAGATGCATAGGAGAGTGAGAGCTTTATTTAAGAGGGAGAGGTGAATAGGGGTTCATACCTAGCACGAGGAACCAGCCACGTGGATGAGCATCTAGGCCTGTATCTGGGCCAGGAAGCCTAGAGCACATGGCCTTCGGGCCCTGGTGGCGTGGGGCTACAGCAAGCTCCCTCCTGACAAGAGGCCAGGGAAGAAGAGCAGCCCAGGCCACATCATGTCCCAGCTTTTAACCCACTTCCAAAGGGGAGTGGTTAATTAACCTGATTGGCTGGTGGGCACCCAGGTGTGGCCAGGTAGGGGAATGAGGCCACACGGGGTGTGGCAAAGGCATCAGGTAGGGGCATGAGGTCACACAGGGGCATGGCAAAGGCATGGTCTTCCAGTTCACAGATCTAACAATTTTAGCCTGTGTGTCTGCCTGCTTCAGAAGGGAGCCAGGAAATGTGGTGGTGGTGGATACCTTGAAGACATTGTTGAGGTACTCCATTAATCCTGCCTAGACCACCCTTCAGGAATGCGCAATACAAATGATAGTGGCTATCTAATGAGACTTTTTTATTCTTGACAAAGGCCCAGATCTTAGTATTTTAGCCACATCTCTCTTCCCAGTAACATGTACAGGGAGATGCTACAGGAGGGTTTCTCAATCTTGCACTGGTGATATTTGGATCAGATAATTTTTTGCTGTGAAGGGCTATTGCTTTAGTCTATTCTGTGTTGCTATAACCATGCCACAGATCAGGTAATTCATAAAGAAAAGACATCTGTTTCTCACAGCTGTAGACACTGGAAAGTGCAGTGTCAAGATGTGGCATCTCGTGAGAGACTTCTTGTGGCATTATCCCATGATGGAAGGCAGAAAGAGCAAGAGCAAGGGAGAACTGAACTCACTCCAGGGAGATGGTGGTAGTGCATCCATGAGGGCAGAATCCCCCTGACTCAAGCACCTCCCGCTACCCCACATCCTGGCACCGTGGCACTGGGGCCAACATCCGAATTCTGGGACACACACTCGGGTTGCGGTTCTGATTTTCTTGGCTGACTTTTCAGCAATGCCGCCCAGTGAGATGGACAGACCCGCTCTCATGGGAGCAAGGTCGAATTCCAGCTCTGCCACTAACTTCTCTGTTTTCCTTCTACAAGTCCCTGCCTCTCCATGTCAGGTCCCTGCCCTTTAAAAGTCGAAATCCGATGCCAACTTTGGATCAGTAGTGTCAGATGGGAATTGAATTGCAGGACATGCACTTGTGGTGAGAAGACAGATGTTGCAATGTGTTCGTGACACCATGACAACAGCTTTACCCCAAGGGTCACTGTACCTGTTTTACAGATAAGCAGAGAATGGCCGGCGCCGCGGCTCACTAGGCTAATCCTCCGCCTTGCGGCGCTGGCACACCGGGTTCTAGTCCCGGTCGGGGCGCCGGATTCTGTCCCAGTTGCCCCTCTTCCAGGCCAGTTCTCTGCTGTGGCCTGGGAGTGCAGTGGAGGATGGCCCAAGTGCTTGGGCCCCGCACCCCATGGGAGACCAGGAAAAGCACCTGGCTCCTGGCTCCTGCCATCGGATCAGCGCGGTGCACCAGCCACAGCGCGTCGGCTGTGGCGGCCATTGGAGGGTGAACCAACGGCAAAGGAAGACCTTTCTCTCTGTGTGTGTCTCTCTCTCTCTGTCCACTCTGCCTGTCAAAAAAAAAAAAAAAATTCCTATGGTCAAATAGTAGGAAGTAACAGAAACCCAATTTACACTCAGATAATTTACACTCAGATGTGCTAAGACGCAGAGTCAGAACCCTTAATCCAGGGTGAGGGTTGAGTACAATGCCAGGTGTACCGCTCACACTGTGTGTGTGTGTGTGTGTGAACTCCTGCTCTAACACCACTTTCCTAGTGTTTGACCAACTGCCTGATTAACAGGCTCACCTGAGGCATTTATTAAAATAAAGGATTCTCGGGCCCCTCCCCTAAGATTCTAATCTACTAAGTATGGGATGGAGCCTGAGAATTTTTATCTTGAACAAGCACCCCAGGAGATTCTGACACTCAGATTAAGTTTGGCAATCACTGCACAGTGCTGCACTTTCCAGCCTCCTACTGGGGTGTGTCCACCTGCCCTATAACCCACCTGCCACTTTCTTCGCACACTGCTATGCAGAGACCCTGAAGAGCTGGCTGTGGCTGTAAGGAAACGGGGAGCAGAACAGAGAAGAGACGGGATCTGAACTCTCAGCTGAAATGAACTTCAAGAAGAAAAATAAATCGGCAGAGGTGGCTAACTACCGCCATGCACACAGAGCGAGCACATGGCTGAGAGCAGGGATTTCGTTCTGGGCTGGGTTTAAGCCAGGTAAGGGCCATGGTTGGGGTGCTGGGGCTGAGCTAGTTTCTCCCAGCCTTTTTCTCCAAGGGCATTAGTTGGAAAAGAATCTAGGGGGTGGGGTGGAGACCAGTACAGGGCATGGGACTGATTGGTCTCTTGAAAGAAGGCAGAGGTAAAGGGGTTTCTGAGGGAATTTTATCTGCTTTCGGGCGAGGAGCTAAAATGGCTGAGGCTTATATCCTTGTTCCGTCAATAGCCTCTTCCAACCTCCACGCGGTCGCTCGCTCGGTCCTACACTGGGAGCATCTTAATGAATCAGGCGATCGGAGTCCAACTCAGCTTGTCCAAAGCCAATCCCGTCAACAGCTCTACTCCTACCTCCTGCTCTCCCTCCTACATTCTCCACTCAGTGACGATCTATCAACCACCCAAAGAGCCCAGCCAGGAATCCTCGGTACATTCCTGCTCTACCTTCTCCTGGCCTCCTGATCACCCTTTCTTAGCGATTTCTAATTCCTAAACAACACACATCAGCCTCTCGTCTTCTCTCCCACTGCCTGATCCTCCACTCTTCTTTCCACTCCATTTACTAATAAAACTTTCTGCTTTCATTTTTTCCAGTCCATAGATGCTATCCCAAAGGAGTCCGATCACATATGTCCAAGGCGGTTGCAATTTTCTCTCCCATCTCACCTGTTCTACTGTTAGGTAGGAAGTCAGTTATGAGCTTATATGTGTGTGACATAAAGGCCTAAAGAGAAGACATCTATGTCCAGCATATGCATCTGCATCTCAAAGTCATCCTGACAATGTTTCAGGGGCAGCCCGGTATTCACATTCTGCCCTGCCCCCTTCTACCTGATAACCTGCCAGGTGGGGGGTCCCCGCCCCTCTGCCTGACAAATCTTCCACAATCTCCCAGGTGCAGCCCAGTGTCTGCATTTCAAACACCCTGCTCTGGATCCCCCATTCTCTAGGGAGTCCTGCTCACCCTTCCTCTGAACCCAGGACAGCACCAGCTAGGCTCCCTCCTGTCTGATACCTTCAAGGGAAAACTCAGATAGGAGCTTCTTAATATTTACAGTCATAAAATCCTTTGTTTCAGGAGGAGATGTGTGAAGACAAAGACCCATCTCCTCCCGGCCTCAACCGGATTGCGCACTCAGCCCTCTGCCTCTCTGCTGAGTCACCCGCCTGGTCTGGCCAGGTGTCATCTCTCCACCCAACCATGGAACCTCATTCCTCCCCCCCCCCCCCCCAGTCCGAGCGACTGGGCACCCTCCCAGGTCCTGTCTGGAGAGGTGCCCATCCATCCTTATGGATGTCCCTTCCCTAATAAACCTTGCTATTTTACCTCCCACTACTCTCTGTCTCACGCCTGAATTCTTTCTTGCGTGAAGACAAGAACCCTGCAATTTCTCCGTTAACACTTCTAGAATATTCTTATTACACCTTCAGAAGGTGGGGTCTATTTACCCTTCCCTTGACTATGGATGCACATTTGTGACTGCTCAGGGATAGGGAACACCTGGCCCAAGGACCCTATAAGGCCCACAAAATCATTTGGTCTCACCCTGCCCAGGCAAGACTCAAAATTCAATCAATCTAGAGCAGGCTAACTTTTAAACTCATCATTTTGTATAGCCCAAGAATGACTTCCAGTTACCCAGATGGCCATTGGCAGAGAAAAGATCCCACAGCCCTGGACCGATACAGCATGCAGAAGTGCTGCTTCAGGACTTTCAAGGTCAGTGAGTAAAAGGTGATGCAGATACCACTGTGTCCACCACAAGGCTCATGCCCGACATCTAAACCTAGTTAACACCTAGTGGCACAGTGGGTTTAAAGCCCTGGCAGCCCATATGGGCACCGGTTCTAGTCCTGGCTGCTCCTTTTCCAATCCAGCTCTCTGCTGTGGCCTGGGAAAGCAGTAGAAGATGGCCCAAGTCTTTGAGCTCTTGCACCCATGTGGGAGACCTGGAAGAAGCTCCTGGCTTTGGATCAGCTCAGCTGCAGCCATTGTAGCCATTGCAGAGTGAACCAGCAGAAGGAAGACTCTCTCTCTCTCTCTCTGCCTCTCTGTAACTCTGCCCTTCAAATAAAATCTTTAAATAAAAAAATAATATCATTGGGGACATTCCCATACCATCTTGGCACTGGACAGTTCTGCATATACTCACCAGTCTCTGCCAGAACTTGCAACTCTCTGAGTGCCTTCCCCAAAGCTGCAAAAGCAGCTAACTTTGCAGGTGGATGGGATAATGGGAGGGTGTATTCTGCATTGGCATGAGGCTCCACTGGCCAGGAGAGATCATACCCAATAGTTCACTCCTCAGTGACTTTCCTCTCCTCCTTGTCTCATATCCCATATCCCTTATCAGCCTTTCCTAGGGTCACTTTCCAAGGCACTACTTCTATTCTGTAAAACTCACGGAGCAGGCACAAGACAGAAGACAGAAAGGGTTAGATGACAACGCTGGAGAAGCAGACAGGGACCTGACATGGAGAGGCAGGGACTTGTGAAAGGAAACAGAGAAGTTAGTGGCAGAGCTGGAATTCGACCTTGCTCCCAAGAGAGTGGGTCTATCCATCTCACTGGGCGGCATTGCTGAAAAGTCAGCCAAGAAAATCAGAACCGCAACCCGAGTGTGTGTCCCAGAATTCGGATGTTGGCCCCAGTGCCACTGTGCCAGGATGTGGGGTAGCGGGAGGTGCTTGAGTCAGGGGGATTCTGCCCTCGTGGATGCACTACCACCATCTCCCAGGAGCGAACAACTTCTCGCACTTGCAGGACTCAATCAGTTATCGCAAAAGCAGAGCCCATGCCTTAGTTTTTGCCTTCCGCCCTTCTGCTTTCCACCGAGAGTTGAAACAACCCGAGTCCCTCACCAGAAGTGGAGCAGACACCAGCATCCTGTCTTAGACGCCCCAGCCTCCAGAACCAAGGCAAAGTACGCCTCTCTGCTTGGGAAATGACCCGGTCTCAGGCAATCTGTTATAGCGACAGAGAGTGGGCTGCGACAATCACAAATCAAAGTGCCCTCCAAGCAATCTTGGCGATTGCTCACCTGCTTTCTCGCCTCCCATCTGGCAGCACCCCCCAGAGCAGGGTTCTGATCCTGGAGCTGGAGCTGTCCACCCAGGAACAAAAACCAAGATCTATAGGAGGCAGGAGCGTTCATCCAAGTATGTCCACAGCATCAGCTTCCAGGGGGAGCACAGAGCCCTGGAAGCCAAACAGACTGTATCCAGCTGACACTTCCTGTTTGCTAGTTGTGCGATTAAGGGCAATTCCCTTCATTTCTCTGTGCCTGTTGTGTAAATACAGAGGGAGGACTGAACACACCGCATTTGCTGGATCGTTTCAGAATAAAATGCATAATGTGGAAAAGGACCTAGGTCGTGTCTGCTACAGTAGGGGTTCAGTAATGACCAGTCTCCTCCTCCCTTGTCGCACACCTTCTCTCTTTCACAGCAGAACGAAACATCAGGGAAAGATGTATTGGCCAAATAATGCGCTGCGTCTCTCTGGCGATTCCCAGCCTACTTGCTTTGCATGATTATTTCTACGAGGCTAATACCTCATTATAATAACACGGCACTCAAATACCAGTGGGCCCATAACCAGAGGCCCTGCTGAAATAAAACCATTATAATCAGGGCCCAGATTGAATCATGGGCTAGTAGGCTCCCCAGTGGTTTGACCAAGAGCCAGGCAATAGTCAAATAATCAAACTGCAGATGCTGGGATAGCAAATTGGCTTACATTTAAACAGTGGCAGAGACCCAAACTACAGTGGGGAGGAGAGATGAGGAGGGGGCAATGTAGACTTGTACAATACTGGAATTCCCCTTCCATGCCTCCCTAGTTAATTGGCCCGTAAAATAACCAGGCTTGTTAATGAACAACGGTCTCATTCCTGGTAGGCACCTAGGTCAGGCTGTTGCTCTGAGCCTACAGCTTGTTGACTCTGCTTTTAGGGCCGAGAGGGATCCCAGGGGTGATGTGAAGGCAGAGACATTATGGTCTCTGGCCTAATTATTGCTCTTGGGCACTCAGCTACTTAAAAACAACATCCTGGGGTCACAGAATCAATGAGAGGGAAGTAGAGAGAGACCTGAAGCGTATGCAATTTGGGAGTCCTGTTGGAGAAAAACAAGACAAAGCTATGTATCAGAAATATGATCGCTTCTGGAGCACTACCTTGCATGCAAGTGTGGTCAACTCTTCAGACTCATCCCCGCCTCAGCTGCTTTCTGAACTCCAGCCTCAGAGAGACGCTCAAGCAGAAGACCCTACTAAGCCAGGCCCGGGTTCCTGACCCTCAAGGTTCTGAGATAGTAAGTGTGTGTTTAAACCACTGCTTATGGGAATCTGTTACATAGTAATAGAAAGATAAAAAAGGAAGACAGCAAGGTCATTTTGGTAGTGGGGTGGAGCAATCCCAGAAATTCTCTTCTGCTACGGACTGCAACTTTCATAGAATCATTGGAAAGATTTGGAAGTCATTTAATCAAATTGTCTGACTTTCAACTAAAAAGGAGACTTGTTTCATTGCTAAATAATGAAATTTTCTACTTAGTCAACAAATTATACTCAACTAGACAGTTGCTTGAGCTGGGTTTAAGGCAGATTTTTCTTTCAAAACATTCATCATCCCACTATATTGTAATTTGTCTTCTGTTTACCAATCTCTTTTCTACACTGAAGAAAAATATTAAATTCATTTTAGCCCCTACTTAAAATAATCCTAATTTTTGGGTGTCATTAAAACAGGTCTATCTCATCGATCAGGTTTCACAACTCTCTTACTCTTAAAAGACATCATAGTCACACAGAGTTGGCGGGCACTTTGGTAGTCAATCCAAGTTAGCTCAGTGGGCAAGTTGTGGCCAACCAGACATAAAAGGAAATAATGTGTGCCACACCCCAAACACGTACTTAAAGAAAGTAGGAATGCTCTTCTTTAGCCCTTCCTTTCTCAACAGATGGAATGCTAAGGGAATGGCTGGAACTCAAACTCCCACATTAGATCATGAGGTAGAAGTCATATACTGTAGATAGAAGAACATGGGCCAATAGTGTGGTGTGGTGAGTCAAATCGCCACCTGAAACACTGGCATCTCATATGGGTACTGCTTCAAGTCCCAGCTGCTCCACTTCTGATCCAGCTCCCTGCTAATGTGCCTGGGAAAGCAGTGGAAGATGGCCCAAGTACTTGAGTCCCTACACCCATATAGGAGATCCAGAGGAAGCTCCTGGCTTTGGCCATTTGGGGAGTGAACCAGCAGATGGAAGGTGTGTGTGTGTGTGTGTGTGTGTGTGTCTGTAAACTCTGCCTTTCAAATACATAAATAATAAAAAAAATAACAACAAAATGAAGGAAGTGAAACTGGAATTTGCAGAGCTGCCAAATCAACCCTAACTATACCTCTCTACACTCATTTACAGTAGAAAGAATTAATCTTCTATCTGGTTTACATGACTATTATTTTCAATTTGAATTTGAGATCACTCAAACATGAACTAATCCTGAATAATAGATTGTTTTACTCCATTGCTAAACTAAGGGACCTGAAACTCAGAGATTAAGAATAAATCTATATTTGCTTCTTCCCAAAACTCACGTATGGAAGCCCTAGAACTGATGATGGAGAGAGGGCATCTGTGTAGATAATGAAGGTTAAGTGAGGTCGAAAGTTGGGGCTGGGTGATCCTATAGGATTAGAGCCTTTATAAGAAGAATACCAGAGCGCTCACTTGCTCTCTTTCCGCCATGCGAAGACACAGCAAGATGGTGACCATCTGTAACCCAGGAACAGGTCCCTCCCAAGAAAACAACCCTGCCAGACTCTGGGGACTTCCAGGCTCCAGAACTCTGAGAAAATAAATCTCTGTTGCTTAATCCCTGAGTCCATGATCTGTTGTTATGGCAACCCAAGCACACCAATCCACTTCCACAGATCATTCCTCCACATGGATAAAATCACTGGCCAGTAAGCGGGTCCTGTAGGTTTCCTGTTTTTCAAGATAAATAATATCTCCATTTGTCTTAGTGATTCCTCTTTAGAAAAAAATGTCCAAGACCTTTCAGATCTCCGTGAGTCTTCCCAGAATCCAACCAAGTAGGTTACATGTACTGGAGTGATAAACTGTATCAGTGTTCCTCTCAAACACTGGCACATTCAACCTCGAACTTCTTCCCAAGTGTGATCAGACCACAAGGAAGGCAACATCCAGAGAAATTTTGGCTGGTCTTTCCAGACTGGGTTCACGGCATCTCAAGAAAGAGGTGGGCAGATATGAATAACCTCTAGTGATGGTCTTACTGCAAGGATCCCTGGAGATGTAAGGTGGAGGGAGAGATGAGCCCACTCAGCACTACATCAACAGTACAATGCTCTGAGACACCATATTCCCCCTCTCTTCAAGCAGTAGAAAAAGCGGCCTAAGACGACTCAGAAAGGGACCCACCCAAATCTAAATTGAGCCAGTCTTTGCTCTTCCTGTGGGCAACACAAATTTGCATTTTCTGGGATCCTTTTTACTTGGGGATGCAGACTCCAAGTGCTGTCAGGGAACTGTTAATCCCTCACTCCACCCACTGGGTTGGTCCACTGATCCATGGTAGCCAATCAGAGACCTTGATCTTTCCCAGTGGTTGGATGAGAATGGACACATGATCTCACTCAAGCAAATCATACTTCACCGGGGCTTCTTGGCTAAAGGCATTGGGTGGATGACTTCCTGTTTGGAGGGGTCTTGGGAGAATGTGAAGTCAGAGTCTCCAGTAGCCATCGGCCATCACCGTAGCCAACACAGAGAGGGGGAGAGCAAAGGGATGAAGACAGAGTAGACGCTTGCAACAGTTGAGGCCTGAATCCTCGTTATGATTCAAACCTACTTTGGAACCTCCTAGTATGTGAGCCAATTTCCTTAAGCTAATTTTTTTTTCTTAAGCTAATTTGACCTGGGGAGTTTTGTTTGTTTTTTTTTTTTGTTTGTTTGTTTGTTTGTTTGTTTTGTCCTGTCACATATCCTGAAAAGAATCTTACTGTACTTCCTATAAGATGGGATCTGAATGGACATTTTGGTAGCATTTGGTCAAGTGGGTCATGGTAGGGCAGCATTCTCCCACTTAACCTCACACTCCAAAGCAGATCCTCCTTGCTGCCTTCGCATTCGACCTGTCCAGTCCTCAGCTGCCCAGCAGCATGGGTGATGTCACTCTGGCAGGCCCCTGCAAACCACACTGCCCACACCACTGCATCAAAAGTAGGAGAAGCCAAGTTGAGAACAGTTTGCTTAAGTCTGCTCCAGGCACCTGTAAACCCACACACACAGTTATCTGAGAGACAGTCTGTGATCTGTGGTTCAACACGAGGGAGCAGCTCTAGTTTCCCTGTTGCCTTGATAGGTGACTTCCCGAGCTGCTGCTGTCTCTCCAGGTTCTGCTCTGGAGAGAGATGCAGTCTGCTCGTCTTGGCTGATCTGTGTGCCAAGGGGGGAGGAGATGGCAGCCCCTGTAGCCAAGGGGGGAGGAGATGGCAGCCCCTGTAGCCACAGACTCAGAGAAGTGAAGTCAGCTTGCATTTGAAGAGCATCCAAGCCCTGTGACATGTGACAGAGGGCACCAGCTCCTGGGGGATAAGCACATTCCCACGTGTTTCTTTGACAGCCCAGTGCTGCTCCAGGGCCCCCGCGTCATCACTGCAGCCTTGTTAGTGACAGCACACGGGGACCCAGAGGCCACAGCTAGATGGCATTTCCTTCCATTTTGCCCTGTTTCAGAGGTCACAGAAGTCAACCCATTTGAGTCTCCCCATCAATCTATAGGGCAAGAGAAAGGCACAGGGTAGGGGGAGTCTCTTGTATGGTTGTATGGGGAGACTGAGGGCTAGAGAGATTCAATCACTTTCTCAAAGCCATTCCGTCAGTCTAGGCCTCACTTTCCCAGTTGAACTTCAACTTGGCCCTCTGATCCATCCACCCCCAAAATCCCTGAAGGCTGAAGCAACACCTATAGTATCCTGACCAGCCCTGGAAGGAGGCAGGAATTTATTATACACACACAGAACACAGATAGATTCATCCACATATACACACACTCACAGGCACACATACTTAACATGTTCACACACATGTATGTATACACTATATACTCACACACACACAGGCTTATCACACATATACAAATGCACAAGCAGATGCATAAAGATCCACACATATGAGGGTATGTCCAAAAGTTTGGAAAAATAGAATTCAAAGGCAAGTTTGTTAGGGGGGAAATTAAATCCATGCAAAGTTTCTCATATTTTGCATTTTCCATCTTTTTCTTCAATACCCCTCGGATGTGTGGATTTCAATCTTTTTGCACTAACATAAGCTTCCCTTTTAACTCCACTTCTCATGACCTGTTTGGCGTTCTCTCGAAGGTTCGCATGCAGTGGATTTTCTTACCATGGCACCCTCAATAGGCAAGTTCTAACATTGGTCCTAGAGCAGATGCCTGGATTCGTCCACTGTGCCACTGGGCCAAGCGTGGCAGCCTGCAACCCCGTGCCCTATATGCCCTAGCCTCCAGGGATCTCATCTGAGGTCAAGAGCTGAGGGTTTTGTTAGTCACTGCCTCTCCCTGGTGCCCTGGGACTACACTGCTGTCACCAGAGCCGGAAAGGAACCTGTCACTACTGTATTTGGGAACTCATGCCGGAGGAAGTGTGGTCCAGTGGGAAGATCACAACACTCACCCGCCGTAATCCACTTCCTAGGCAAGCAGAGAACAGAAATGTAATATTACAGTGCTTCTTCACCAAGCCAAATGCGAGTTCCCAAATAAACACGGACAGATTAGATTTTCCAGTAGTGTAAAATACCAGAGTCCTCAGGTAAGGAGTCTGCTATTGTAATGCATGCAGTACATTAATTCTTTCAGAAATATTTACTATAGTATTGGAACACTTACTCTTTGCACACGTAGTATTGGCTCAAATACAAAGCCATGGAACAGAAAGATGAACGTTATGATTAAGCCTATAAATAGATGAACAGAAGGGAAGATTTCAGAAACAAGGCCATAAATACAGGCATACGTTCATGATAAAAGTGACCATTTAAATTAGAAGGAAAAAAAGCAAAGACTAGCCTATCTACTGTATTGACAAAACTGCTTGCTTACCAGGGCAAAAAATAGATTAGCTCCTACTCATTGCCATCCAAAACAGCAAATCCCATACAAATTACAGTTCAGCATAAAATCCCAGACTACAAAGCATGCTTCATAACCAATAAACTCAGAACAACAGGCCCAGTGTCAACAGCATGGCAACAGCAAGGCCACGTTTCAAGTGATGATGTATAGGTTGGACATCTTTCTGGCATTATGGTAGGGCTTCGCGCACAACAGGCAAAGACAGGAGAAGGCACTTCCACCTTGAGATGCATTGAAGGCCTCTCTAAGCAAGGCACAAAACTCAGAAGCAATAGCAGGAAAGATTGATGGACATAACTACATCAAACCGTAAAGACCCGTCAACCTAAAATCACCAAGTGAAATGAAAAGGCACAACGTCACAACCTGAACTTTTTCCATAGATAAATCATGAATAAACTTGATTACATAATTGATCGTATAGTAATTTTGTAGACTGAATAGAGGAAAGATCCCATTTGTTTTTAAAAAGCACTCAAAAATCATTTTAAAACTTCGTAGAAACTGGAGTATACTCACTTGAAGTGAACTGTTAATGGTATTTATCTCTAAGAATGGAGTCAAAAAACGAGAGATCAGGCCAGTGCTGTGTCACAGTGGGTTAGGCTGCGGCCTGGCTGTTCCACTTCCAATCCAACTCGCTGCTCATGTGCCTGGTAAAGCAGCAGAGGATGGTGCAAATCTTTGGGCCCCTGCACCCATATGGAAGACCTGGAGTAGGCTCCTGAATCCTGGCATTAGTCTGGCCCAGCCTTGGTCTTTGCAACCATTTAGGGAGTGATGTGGATGGAAGATTTCTGTCTCTCCTCTAATTGTCTTTCAAATAAATAAATAACTCTTTAAAAAAATGATGGGTGGGTGCATTTTCTTTAAAGCTTTATTTATTCATTTGAAGGGCAAAGTAAGAGAGAAAGGCAGAGACAGAGAGAGACACCTTCCATCTGCTGGTGCATTCCCTCAAATGGCTGGGATGGGCCAGGCTGAAGCCAGGATCGAGGGGCTCCATCCTGTTCTCCCACATGGGTTGCGGAGATCCAAGTATCCGGACCATCTTCTGCTGCCTTCCCAAGAACAGAAGCAAGGCAGCCAGCACTCTAACTGGCACCCTTATATGGAATGCCATTGTCACAAGCAATGGCTTAACCCACTGCACCACAACGCCCACTCCTGGATTTAATTTTTTAACCTATAGGCTTCTGAACTGTGATGGGTTTTTACAAAGAGAAAGTACTCATGGATTTCTCTTACGTAGTATATAAAAAGACAAAATCAGTAACACTCGCAATCGAACACTTGGGCTGATGTCATGGCTCAGGGTTCATTAGCTTTTTCACCCCATGGCAATTTGCTGTCAAAGAAAATAACATCTACCTCAGAAGCATGAGCACCAAATAAAGTGAGCCATAACTGCTGTTGACTGAGCATCTACTGTATACCTGTATTTATTAAATGCACTATCACACCGACCTATAGTATCAGTCTCATAAGGTAGCTGTTATTAGTGTTTTGCATGGAAGGAAAGTGATTCTCAAAGAGGCAAAGTAACTCGTCCAAGGTCATGGCACTGGAAGAATCAAAGCCAGCATGAAACCTGGGTCTCTTCCACTCTAAGATCAATGCCAGCTCCTCCATGTTCACCAC